AACAATAGCAACAACAGCAACAACAACAACAACAACAGCAACAACAACAACAACAACAACAACAACAACAACAACAACAACAACAACATCAACAACAACAAATCAAATGAACCCATGATCCACTACTTTTTCAAAAGATCTTTGACGATATGAGGCAGAATATAATAGCACATGAAATTGGCGTGATCTTTCTGTTGGATCCAGCCCATCTTCCAGGGGTGGAAAAACTGGTGGAATTCTCGGTAATAGGAGGGGTAGTTGGCTCGCTCGGTGTACCACAGGTAGACGCCGTCCATCCGTACAATGTCTGTGGTGAGCTCCATGCCGTTGATCAGGGTGGGTACAGCGATGTCCAGAAACACGTTATTAGAGAAGAAGATATCTGAGAGCATGGCCCAGGCTTGACGGTGACGCGCCGGCACGTAGAAAATGTCGGAGGAACAGTAGAAAAAGTTATCTGGTTCTCCAGAGTTCTGTTTTAGCGTGTCCAGAAATACGTTGACGATTTCCTTTGCGCCGCTGTTGTTAGACGCTCTGATGAACTCGAAAGTTTTCCACACTTTGGCCATGGCTTTAGCGCCCCACATCTGTCCATGCACCGTCCAGGGCCACCAGGGGAACGGGTAGTTGAGCGCGAAGTCAAGCATCATCTGCTGGTGCCTGCTGGCGATACGTAAATCTTTCTGGAACCAGAACCTATCTCTCGGGATGGAGCCGAGAGTCCAAGTGTTAAGTATGACATCATCTGCCATCTCCAGATATCCCCTCACGTCGTAGTTGATCATGACGGCTCGAGAAACGCATTCGTAAGCCAAAAAACCCTGTGTGTCGGGGACTTCTACGTATGTGATAGGCTTTTTGAACGTCTTGTAAAATGTTTGAAATACGTTGGAGTCCGGTCCACAGTATATGAGAGTTCGGAAATACTTTCGGTACAAATCCTCTAGAAACTGGACGTTGGAATAGATGCTGGCGTCGTAGAAGATAATGACTAAAGCAATATCTTTCACCCTGCTGCTGTTGGGATCTAGAGTGTAGTTTTTGAATGGATCCAATACGCCCGAACGTGCGGTTAAGTTTTTGCACATTGGCTCAATAGCCGGAAATTGTTTGACAGGAGAGGGGTTTGAGGAAGCGGTTACTAAAGCAGGGGAGTGTATGACACAACCCAGAAGAAGATCGTGTATACGGGGAACAAGTTCACGTCGTTTTGGTTCTAAATACCCTAACCTTTTCAAACCCTCGAACCAGATTCTCAACTGCTGGACGTCGTTTAAAACAACGAAGTTTCTTGCGTGTAACTCTTCAGCGAGCAGAATTGCGCACTCGTAGAAAGAATATTGATGAGGACAAACCCACGAGTTGACAAACTTGAATACTTTTTGGCTCTCGCTTGAGGGCGTACCTGGCATAATGGAGAGGGTCGCTGAATTGGGACACGGTAGCGAGGTCAAGGCCATTTCTGCCCCGAGCTCCTGCAGCAACCGTTGGGCCCACAATCCCCAAATACCGGATGTTTCTCCTGAGGGCACGAAAGACATAAACATGGCCCAAAGCCCTTCGTAGTCGAAGAACGAGTCAGAATATTCGAGAACGTTGACACGGGGTTCGGAGGTATAAACCGGAGGAGCGTGTTGGTCTATGAGCGTGAGAGTATCGATTCCCTTCTGCTTATGGGCTCGACACCGAACCCCAACGGTCCACAAAGGCTTCATTCTCTTGCGTATTCGATACAAACAAGGGTTCCCTGGCCCCACTTTGATGCGATGATGGAAATGAAAGGAATCGAGAGTGAGATTTAATCCGTAGTATTCGATTCCCTTCACGCCGTCTGGCTGGTTGTCGGGTATGAGTCGGTTCTTGGAGACTTCGAAGGAGCTGACGTCAGACGTGAAGAGAACACCCACCCCTCCGTGGTCTAGCGCGAACAGCGCAGACGCCATGCGGGAGAACTGGTCCGCCATCGGCGACTCCGACGGAAGGTCAAGGTCGTACGTCCATTTCTGAATGTAGTCTCGTATCGTGTCGTCTGGTGAGGTGCATCCGCTGCATCTGTAGAGCATTCGAATAAAAACTTTATAAGTGATTATTGTAATGGTAGAGGTTTTGCTCCCCCGTGGTTACAATTTAGATATTATGGGAAGAGGGCTACCCCCTGCCGGCCAGGACCACCACAGGCTGAGGGGGATACAACTTTCTAACAGGCAGACAGAGATCATCATCAGCCGGTGCCTTGCCGACTGGCGTGGGCGGTCATGGACCTTCACTTCCATTCGTTTTGCATTGCAGCAATGGCGTCTGTTGTTCTTGCTACTCCCAGCCATGTTGTCAATTGTCCAGTATCTTTTCCCTCTGTTTGGCTCTGCCTCTCTTTCCATCGAACTTGCCTACTGTTAGTTGCAGAATTCTCCAATGCTTCTTTCCGCATGTGTGTCCAATAAAATGTGAAAGTCGTTTTTGTATATTCGTCATAAGGTGTCGTCTGCAATTTGCTTCAACCAAGAGATACTCGATTCCAAAAAAAATATTACCACTTAGGAATCGAACACACATTTTCTTACTGCAACGGCAAAACACCCCACCCCTACACCACAGACGCCAGTGAACACTAGAGTAATTGTAAATGACTCAGTTTAAGTAACTGATTTTACTCCTCCTTTGACCAAAATCCCATCATCTAGGAGGCAGACTGCTTCGACCTGCCTTCCAGGATCAAAACGTCAAAATGTACTGAATGTGATCCAACATCCCTACAGAGATGTTAAGTAGATAGCACCCGCACTCGGGTAGCGAATCCAAGCCTTGTGCACGCAACTTCAAAGACTCTAATCAGTACATCAAAGATGCCCGTGGGGGTTCTCGTGGCCTAGAGATTAAGATGTTCGCCTCTCATGCAATAGGTCCCTCCCTGGTTCGAATCTGGATACCGATGGAAAATGTTATTCTCTAAAATGTTCTCCTTTCACATCCTTTCCTGCTCTCTAATAATGTTCTGTCGTCTGCTTTCGTTCCCACTTTCTGCCCCCACCCCCTCACTTCCTTTGGGCTCCTGACTCTTTCTGTAGCCTTTCTACTGCGTCTCTATAGCTCCTTCTTACTGCTGTCTTTCGGCCATATCCTTGATCTTATGGTAGGTAAGATCTACATCTAACCTTCTCGGACAATGGCAAAAAAAATTTCGGAGGTCCCGTGTGGAAGTTGCGCACGTTAAAGATCCCTTGGTGGTCCAAAATCGATAAGAGTAGACTTCAGCCGCCACCCAGTCAAAATTCAAAATTTCCTACCAACTGAAAATGTTTGGAGTGTCCCACGCGCTCATATGACCTTATGCAGTTGCGAGTGCCGTAAAACACTTAACAAAAAATATATTAAAAAGATGACAGTGAAGTACATCAAAAACAATATATCTATTGCATGCATTTTGTTTATCTGGTGCAACCTGCATGGGTCACAAGGGTACTGGCAGATGATTTGAAAGCAGTATGCATACATGATACAGCTTTTGCCTGGGCGGTTGTAGAAATAGAAGAAATACATTGGTCAAGCACTGCCCCCCCCAACACTCAC